CCCCCCCCCCCCCCCCCCCCGCTCCCCCTACGCCGACGCTTGCCACCGCTGAGTGATTTAAACATTTAAACGTGTTTCTCGACGCAGTCATCCGCCGAGCAGCCGTACAGAAACATGCATTACTCGTAAACGGTGCCGTTCAGATACATACATGAAACGTGCATGGTACGGTCTTCTGTGCCAGTTTGCAACAGCACCGGTGTTATGTCACAGCGAGTATTTTTTGAACGACGTTGATGTTGGTGACGAATGTTCGGGCGACTACACACTGCTGTGCAGCCCCCGCCTCACGGTGACAGCACTCCCCGCCGTCCAGCCATTGTTGCTGTTGCATGTGTGAGAGAGAGAGTAGAATGCCGACAGCTGGCGGGTTTTTCAAAACATTATTCTCCGGTAACGCCGCTGCCGTGCATTTCTTTCTTTCCCGCCCCCCCGGTGTTTGCCATCGGGGTTGGGTTTTCGTCGCTTGGCCACGACGTTGTAAAACAAGCCGCCGCCCCCGGTGTTTGCCATCGGGATTGGGTTTTCATCGTTTGGCAACGACGTTGTAAAACAAGTCAATTCACTTCGTGAACTCGGCAACCAGGTTACCGGTTTTTTTTTTCACCTCCGTTTTTTTTTTTTGGCGGTAACCATAATGGTGGTCGAGTAGATCATGTTGTGCGGGGTGGAGAACCCTCACTCCGCGCAAGGGGGATGATCGCACCGCGTTGTGTTAATATGGTCAAGCTCCCTCGAGGCAGTTACACAGTGATTACAACTGTCTCAGGAAGTGACAGCACCAGAAAAAAAATTAAGTCATACGCAGCTGTCATCCGTACGCAAGGAAGTAAGCACAGGATGCCGAACACCCTTAGCAGGATGCAGCGCACCCTTCATGCGACTTGCCGAATATCCCACGGCCCTTCGCGCTTGGTGACGTGAGAGCCTGGTCCGGTGAAAACCCGGCGTGCTCCGTCCCNCCCCCCCCCCCCCCCCCCCCCCGCTGGTTGCGCAACGTGTTTGTACGTACGCTTTGACCTCGTCCGTGTGAACGTGATTTTGGCATGTCCCCTGGTCGCCCTAGGGTCGGCGTGGGCGGCCCGACGTCACCCGAACGGGGCTTTGACGCCGCGGTCTTTGTCGTCGGCTTGGTGGGGCTTTGCTGCCGTACCCACCACCGCCAACAGAGGGGGTTACTACTGCCTGTCGGCAGGCGGCGGCGGTAGCGGTGAAGCGAGGACGACGATGTTGTCGCAACCCTCCATGGCGATATTGACGTCAGCTTCCGCTTCGGCTGCAGCAAAGAAGAAGGGCAAGGTTGCTGCCGCTGGCGCGAAGAAGACGAAAACGACGGCCGCCGCGGCTGCGGGCAGAACCGCCCCCTCTGCAAAAACCACCACCGCTGCGAGAAAACCTTCGACGGCTAAAAGTACCGCACCCAAGAAGAAGGAGCAACCCGTTGCATCCGCTGCCGCTGCGAAGAGGAAGAGCAACCCTGCAGCCTCCAAGCCGGAGGGCTCGAAGAAAGTCTTGGTGATCGTGGAGTCCCCGGCCAAGGCGAGGACAATCACGGAGCTCCTCAAGAAGGCCGCCGCTGGCGGCGGCGGCGGTGGTGAGCTCTACAAGGGTTACACCGTGGACGCCTGCAACGGCCACGTGACGGACCTGGTCGGCAAGAGGAGGGACGTGCCGGCGGAGCTGAAGGAGCAGACCAAGGGCTGGGATGTCGTTGGCGTGGACGTGGTGAGCGTTTTGTGTTTGTCCGTGTTGTTGTTTCATGCCCGTCATGTGCTGGTAGTTGGCAAACAGTGGCAATTACACGGTGGTGGTGGTGGTGGTGTTGCGGACGCTCATGGTGCGATGAGTTCTTGTACTGCCAATGAAGCAGGGCGGAGGCTAACGTGTTGTTGTTGTAGTAGTTGTTGTCTTCGCTGTCTTGAGTATTGTTGGCGAAGCCGGCGTGAACGTGGAATTGTCCATGGCCTCGTGCAGCAGCAGCAGCAGCAGCAGCAGCAGCAACCAGAGCAACAAAAGCAACAAACTGATCGCTCCTTTACGTTGTGGCACCCTGCCCCCTCGAATTTTCAGGAGAACGATTTCAAGCCGCTGTACATCCAGAACCCCAAGAAGAAGGCGATCATCACCCGGCTCAAGAAGGCCTCGGCCAAGTGTGACGAGATAATCCTGGCCACCGACGAGGACCGAGAGGGGGAGGCCATCAGCTGGCACCTGTTGCAGGTGCTACATGCTGATTACTTCGGTTTATCTTTTCGCGGTTCAGTTGTGGCTGTTGTTGGTGTTGTTGATTCGCGTAATCGGTGTTGTTGGTCTTGTTGTTGTGGCCAAATTGCGTTGCCGTTCGTTGATGTTGTTGTTGTTGTTTGTTGATGTTGTTGATGTTGTTGTTGTTGTTGTTGTTGTTGTTTTTGTTGTTATTGTTACTGTCATGGTCGTTTTGTGGTGCCGTGGTTGTTGTTGTTGTTTTACATTCCGGCTGGCTTCTCTGCGTGCCCTTTGCTTGCCCTGGGCAAGCCCCAAAGCTAACTGCGGCTGCTGCTTGTCGCGTTTCATGCTCACCTTGCTACCGCTATTCTCGCGTTGTGTCGGTTAGCTGGCACTTCGTGTACAACCCTCGTTTTGCTCGTTCCCTTTGTGTTGTGTTTTATGAGTTGTTGGTCCAGGTAGCGACGAACAGCCAAGTATTGACCAACACATTGTGATTCCCCCCGTTTGTGCCTCGCTGTGTGGCTTGTTCTGCGACGTCCGAAGACACATCTTGCCGGCTTGTCGGCGTGTTCCCAGTAACCCCCCTCCGCGTTTTAATCCGCACATAACCCCCCAACAGTTTGAAGTGAAAGAAGGACCGGTAGCACGCCACGCGAAATATCCCGCATCACAGGACCGCCACAGAAACGCGTCGAACTTTCGACTGCTTATTCACAATGTGCATGTATGTGGTGTGTGTGCGTGTGTACACTCTTCGTCGACCAGGTCCTGGAACCGAAAGTTCCGGTCAAGAGGGCGGTGTTCCACGAAATCACCCAGGAAGCACTCGTGAAGGCGTTCGAGGTCAGACGGCAAATGCTGTAACTGTTGGTAGTGGTCCGGTGGGGTGTGTCTGTTCCTGTTATTGTTATTGTTGTTGTTGGTTGTTGTTGTTGGTTGTTGTTGTTGTTGTTGTTGTTGATGGCGTTGATGTCGTTGTCGTTTTGATGCCCAGAAGATCGTTTTTCGACAACTAGTTGCACGGTCATCAGCCAACTTATGTTGGCAACGACAGGAACAGGCGCGCTGCGCTAACGCTGGCGTACTCGACGCAACCAACCGTCCTGCAACAGCCCTCCACCATGTTGTCCGTAGCCACATCAGCGTCAGGATTGCATGTTTCCATTTTTATATCCTCTCTGACGCCCGCGCACCCTTCGGCGACAACAGCAACAGCGACAACGATTGTGGTATGTTCCTAATCCACCCACCAAGCCTTCACCGGATCGATCCCCCTTCCACTCCCCGTTATGTACCATGTCGGCAAGGGCGCGAGTTTCGATGATCACGCGACCGTAGAGGCAAGAAACAGATGAGGTTACCCCCACCCCACCCCTCCGGTCGCGTGCGATGGCTTTCTTGTTCCACTGTTTGTGTTCTTTTTTTTATCGTATCTTCAGGAACCAGGACAGATTGACGAGAACCTCGTTCAGGCCCAGGAGGCCCGCCGCATCCTTGACCGCTTAGCTGGGTAAGAGGGGGAGGGGGGGGGAGGGGAACTCGTGTGGATAATGAAGCGGCATTAGCCGGGCCAGTGGGTGGAGGGGTCTGGTACGTTTGTGTCCGGGCTGGTTGATGGGTAATCTTAGAATTCTGGTGGTGTTCATGGATGTAATCGATTTTGGTGGCTGGGAAATGGAGGCTGCTGAAACTCCTCCCGTTAATGCCCCGTGTTCTATCCTGGCATATAAATACGAAGTAGCTGATACACGCGTTTCCCATTGGCATCGCGGAAGTGGCACGCAGAACGTACCCCCCCCCCCGCCCCCCCCCATCTGGTTTGGCCACAGCAAACGCAAGGATGATGACCAGGTTCTGGTTCATCCTCGTGAAGCCTGTAGCCAGGGTCGGTGAAAACCCGGCACACCGCTCCGTCCCG